ACTTTGCCCCCCCCACCATGTGCTGCGACTTTTTGCGCTTTATATCCGATTTTGTCCCTTTCAGTTGATCCTAGCCCGCTTTGTATATAACCCTTGCGTCTCCTTTGGTTTTAGTGTACTGCGGTGGCTCACACAGAGGTGCTTACTTTGTATCGCCCTTTGACCGTTACCTTTGAGCTTCACTCACTCAGGGTGCCTGTCTGCGACCCTTTATCCCCCTTTTCGAATAAAAAAGAGGCACGCGCCCGTTTCATATACTCAATGCGCCTATCTGCGACCCTTTAACTCCCCTTGGATAAAATAAATTAAAAGAAAGAGGCGCGCGACCGTACCTCTCGCCCCCCGCTCGGCGTTCGTTGCAAATTTCGAATTTCAAAATTCAAATTCAAAATTCAAATTTTGGAACGAAGGGCTAGGATCTGGCCATTTAGCGTGCGCACATCTCGAGGTAGACTCCTCATCTCCCTTCCTATAAATACAAACCTTCCACCCCCTCTCTTCTTCATTCGTCTCGAATTCCTTTCTCTCTCTAGCTTCTCTCTCTACCTGCTCTACTTCTCTCTCGCCTGTGCGCCTCCTTTTTACTTTGCCAACCATGTCTCAATCCGACTCCGGCGCGACCAACACCACCATCGAAAAGGGCAGAAGCGCGGCCCAACGTGATCGAGGTGCTCGAGCAGCACCTGTCCCCGAACCCGCTTCGCAATCAAGATCAACGGGCGCATCGCTCTAAGAAGGAGGCGCCTAAGAAGACAAAATCTGCCTCTTCCTCCTTAGCGCCTATCGATGCCGAGGCACCTGCAGTTACAACGGCCTCGAACGCGCCTGCAACAACTACGCCAGCACCCGCCACCGCCGATCAGGGTAATGCACCTTTTCTCTTCCGCTCTCTGAATTTTTCAGATTCACTTTGATCCTTTGCTAGACGCCCACAAGAGGTCTTAGGCCCGTAGTATTGACCAAGGACGCTTGGATCACTTTTAGGCTCCGCGCCTACCTTGTCAGAGTCGAGTGATTTGGCGATTTCTCCGGTTTCCACTGATTCGGGCGCCCCTGAAGATGGGTCTTTCAAGTTAGTTGATTTGGAAGATACGTGGCCGCAGGGGGGAGCGCCTGACAGCACCAGCAAGCTATCTGTTCGCTTTACCAGGCCAAAACATGTGTCCACCATCAAGATAGCTGAATTGCATCGACTGATTACTTCGTGCAACCTGCCTCGCACTTGGTCCTATGCGCCTGCATCACCAGTTGCCAGGATAGGAGCGATTGGCTTACGTTGGCTCGGTATATATAGGGAGTATTTCAGATTCGGGTTGCGCTTCCCCTTGGATTCAATTTTAGAAGGGATCCTAACAACATGCTCCTGTTCACTTGGGCGCCTATCGCCCGCAGTTTTCTTGATTCACATTCTGTTCAAGCTGAAGTGTCGTTAGAACAACATCACGCCGACGTTCAAGATTTTCTGATATTTTTTTACCATGACCAGCAGTGACAACTGCTTGTCCCTACAGAGGCGCCTGGACATCCCGGGACACTTTGTAGAAGATTGCCCGAAGTTGGGGCGCGAGTGGTATAGGGGCTACTTTTTCATTAAGGCGCGCACAGATTCGTTTTATGAGAGTGGCGCCCGCTTCACCCGGGGTTGGAAAGTTGGTGGTACCACACAATTCAACGTTGAAGTGGAATTATCCCACGCCGAGAAAGAGCACGCGCGCTTACTATCCCTTCACCCAGTGAACTTAAGTTCCACATCCGCTAGAACCCCTGTGTTGCATGAGTACTACGCCGACGGTGGGTAGGCGCTTAGTAGTGTAACTGTGTCGTCAAAAATTGCACGCGCCTGTGTTCCTTTGCACCTGCATAATGGTTTAACTGTGTTGTCTAAAAATTGTTTAACCATGTGTTTTCTGCAGCAGGTGTGGACTTCACCACTATTGCCTCGCTGATGAAGATCCAACTTGAGATCTTGGGTCTGGATTACCAAGCGCCTACTTTCCGCGGCAAGGCGCCCTCGCGCCCGAAGAAAGGCGCTTCGAAGAGAGGGAAGATCAAGTCTTCCTCCACTAGAACAGAAACTCATGTCAAAGCCGATGCGCCTGCCGCCTCGGCAAGCAAAGGAAAAGGGCATTCAAGTCCACGGAGGATCAAACCTCAGAAAGTACCGAGCGCCCCTCTCGTAGAGGAAGAGAGTGCGCCTGTCGTCGTGCAACCGGAGAAGGGGGCGCCCTCTTTGGACATTCTTTCTGACCCCGAGTTGGATATCGACGACGTCCCCCTTGGTCAAAAACTTAAAAGGAAGGCTGAAGGTGACGCATCGGCACAGAGTAAGAAGCAGCGCAGAGGCGCAAGTTCCAGAGTTTGTGAAAAAGTGGCTGCAACCGCCCAGGCATAAGGTCAACATTGCCTGCTCGGACAGATCTGCGTTGGAGAGGGGCCCTGCGCTTGGGTTTGACTTTCACGCAGTCGAGGTTCTGAGGGCACCCAGTGAAGTTCAAGGCGCGAACTTGTGGGGAGAGGTGGCACGTATGGCTGCCCAGGTATGCGCCTATCTCGCCTTCTTCCTTATCACTTTGCGCACGCATTACTAACATGGACTTGCGATTTTGATTTCTGTATAGATGCTCCTGCTCTCCAAGAATGGCGCTTTGGCCGGCGAGGCGTTGCGCGTTGGAGAAGCGGAGGCCTCCAACTCCCTCAATGTAATGCGGGATGATTTGGAGACGGCGCAGAGGCGCCAAGCAGAGTTGGTGCAGGCGTGCGAGGACGCCAATATTGAGGCTGCAAAGGCTGCATCCCTCGTCCAACAGACGATGGTCGAGGAAAAGAAGAAATTGAAGTTGGAGTACGAAGCCCAGCTCGAGATTGTCAAGAGGGCGCATCACGAGGAGATGGCCAAACTTGTGAAGGAAAGGGATTTTTCTAGAAATAGCACCTTTTAAAAAAGAAATTACAAAAATAGCACCCAGCCGAAAAAATTTACACTAATAGCACCCTTTTTTATGGACCGCACCTTAGAGGTGTGTTTTATACATAAACCGCACCTCTAAGGTGCGGTTTATAATCCTGGACCAAAACCGCATCTTGGCCAAGCGGTTTTAGGTCTGACCTACAGAAACCGCTTGGCTGAGGTGCGGTTTTGGCCTGATCTATCAAAATTGCACCATGAAGGTGCGGTTTGTTTCTCCCAAACAAAACCGCATCTCCATGGTGCGGTTTTGCCACACAAACCGCACCTTGGGGGTGCGGTTTTGGTCAATTAATTTCCGACATGCCATGCAGAATAACAGACGTGGGTCTGCATGGACCTGCATGGCAGACGAAAACCGCACCTCTAAGGTGCGGTTTTCATCAGTGATTTTGCCTATAAAAGGCTTCCCGGAAAACCACTTCTCTTCACACCTCTCCTTCTCCCTTTTCAATTTTCTGTTGTAGCTCTATATTTTTTTTAGTAGTTTTGCGATTAACGTTAACTCGTAAGTTTATTTTGTATTACTTTTTATTGTTATTTTTTATTTTTTATTTTTATGATATTAACTGAACTACGGTTTTTTCGCAGATGGCATTCCAAAAGTTCACGCTTGGCTTACGGTGGAATGGTTACACGGAAGAGACCGGAAAGGGGGTAACCTACGTCGATGGCAATTTTCAGAAGATTAAGGTCGCTACCAGACCGCTGCTTGAAGACCTCCATCAAATGTGCACTAACGTTACTTGCATGGATGGCACGAGAAGAGTTGATCGTATGGTGTATCGATATCCAAACAGAGAAAGTGGGTCATTGTGGCATGTGGAATATCTCATAACCACTCATGATGAGGTAGATGCCATGCTCGAATTCTTGAGGTCCAACAATCTTTCCAAAGCCGAGATGTTCGTTTACACCGAGCCGGTCGTAGGCGTTGGAGGTCATTCTGGACACGGTCAAACATCTGGTATCCATGGTGGAGGTGAATTATATGGCGATCATCCCTACCAAAGTTACCATGATCCTCATTCCTATTTTCAGTACCAAGAGCAAGGTGAAGGTCATCATCAATCTTTCCCGTCATATGAAGAAGAAGTTCAACCGGACCTCCCCAACCAACCTCAGTACAACTTCCAATCAGGCATCGGTGGTTTTCACAACTACCATTATGGAGCTGATGAAGGTACCTTTCATGAGCTGGATCAGATGGAGGATACCCTGCCAGCACCAGTAAGTGACCCCTCCGATGAAGAAGGAGAGAACAACGTTAGTGCAGACAGCTCCGATCCTCTTGAAGGTGCTGATGATTCAGGACCAGAGTCAGACTCAGCTAATGATGATGAGGTGGCTCGTGACCGTGTACCAGTCCCCTACTACAATCACATTCCAGACGACAATTGGATGATCGACAGCGACATGGAGCCGCCAGAGGTCCCAATATGGGGTCCACTCACTGGGTTTATGAAGGGCCAACAATTTGGCTCGAAGAAGGAGGTGCGGCACGCCATTGAGACTGAAGCAATGACTCGGTATTTTAAATGGCACACAACTCATTCCAACACTAAAAGGCTCATAGTCAGATGCCGTAATCATCACGAGGGGTGCAATGTTAGGAGTAGGGCCATCAACAGCAAGAGACACGGCCACTGGGTCATATCCTGTGCGGTGAACACACACACATGTGTGTCATCCATAACTTCCCAAGGCCATCGACAGTTGAAATCCAGGGTGTTTGATGCGGCTATCAAGCATCTAATTGAGCAAGATGCGGACCTGAAGGTGAAAGTCATAATCGCTGACATTGCAAGTCGTTATGGTTATATGATTAACTATAAGAAGGCGTGGCATGGAAAGCAGAAAGCTCTGGCCGCCGTCTTTGGTGATTAGGAAGAATCATATGCATTCCTTCCCAGGTTAATTTTGGCATTGGAGGCGTCTAACCCTGGCACTGTTTTCTCCCCTCGATACCAAGATGAAGAGATACAGCCCCCAGAGCCAGGTAACAAGCGCCATTTCAGACAACTTTTTTGGGCATTCAAGCCATCCTAAGCCATCCACAACTAAGGAGATTGCTTGATTTTATGGAGAAGAACACTCCTCCGATCATGCCTATGAGATAGACACGAGTATATCTCTCCTTCTCATCCTCCGGACTTTCCTCGGTTAGGGGATGACACTCGTAATGGTCTCTAAAATACTTCGTCAACCAAGTAATTGAGACTTGGTGTTTCCTCATTGGTGGCATGCGATCGGTCGCATCAACGCACCCCTTCACCGGTACTTTCACTCCCAAAACACTGTGGATGAAATGAACCCAACCAGGCATACCGTCACGATCATCGGGGAGATGATCACTCACGCACACCGGTTTGCCGTCAATGGGCAGATGGGTTAGGATGGCGACATACATTAGCGTGATGGTGGCCTCTCCTTCTCTAAAGTTGAAACAATGGGTCTCCTTTCTCCATCTCTCGGCTAATGCGGTGATGAGTTGGCGATCAACTTTGATGCCATTAAAAAGCCTAATTGAGTCCAACCGTGCCCTTTTGAGAAATGGCAAGATAGCTGGGTGGAATGGGAGCACATTGGTCGTACCCCTGTAGCGGAGTATTGTTTGTGCTTCCTAGCGAAAATTTACACGTTAATTATTATATATTAGTAAGGGTTTTTTTCTTATAACTAAATTAATTAAATTAAATTATTTAACTTCAAGCAGAATTTTATTATCATAAAAAGACATTTCATATAATTAACATAATAACATTCTAAATCAATAATAATTAAAAGAGATACATACATATTATCATAAAACAAACATCCTAAATTAATTAACATAATAACATTCTAAATGAATAATAATTTGAAGAGATACATACATATTATCGTAAAACAAACATACTAAATTAATTAACATAAATAACATTGTTAATGAATAATAGTTTAAAGAGAAACATACATATTCAAATATTTGAAATTAATAAAATTCATTTTGTACACATAAAAATAAACCGTATTGGTTGTTTGGTAAATAATTTAATCGTATTGGTTGTTTTAAATAATTTAATCGAATACAGAGCAACACTCGTTAGACTCTTAGAAGAGGTATACATCTTCTTAGAAACGCAGTCTTTTTTACAGAAAAAGGGGGGATCCGAGGATCTCTTAATACCCGATTTTCTCAGGGAATGAGAGGATATGATAATCGCTTAAAACCTCATTTCCGTAGACGTGCATCTCTTTATAAAGAGTCGAAGTAAGTGGCGCTATGTATTCGATTAAATTATTGAAAACAACCAACACGATTAAAAAATCAACATAAATTTATTTTATATTCCACTAAATACATTAACAAAATAAAAGAAGGACAAATGGTGAAGAATTGTATGTACCGGGTGATCGTTCCAAACATCCCTTGACCGATGGTTGGGTTGGTCGTACAAGTCGGTTGGATCCAACGGTCCTTGCTCGAGATAATACTATTGGTTGTATATATCCACGTCCTCCCCAACCTACGAGAAAATAACAACGAGGTTAGTACATAGAATAATTAAAAAGCTTATAACAGCAACACAAATTAAACCAGAATAATGAGTACGTACCGCTTGAAATTCATCAACATAAACTCCCTCTCCTTGCCACCAATCGGCCATTCTTTCGGGAAATTCGGACAGAGATTCGGCTCGGCGGGTTTTGAGGAAAAAACCAAAATTCGGACAGAGATTCGGCTCGGCGGGTTTTGAGGAAAAAACCTAAGAAATGTTTTCTGATGGCAGATCGGACTTAGCCGCAACCAACAAACCATTATTTCCTAGGCTTTTGGGAGGGGAGGGTTTAGAGAGATAAATTCTAGAGAGAGAAGGAAGAATGGGTTGTGGTGTGAAGAAATGAGAGGGGAAGGGGGGGTATTTATACCTAACAGACCGCACCCTTCAGGGGCGGTCGGGTAATTTTGCCCAACCCTAAACCGCGCATTGCCGAGGCGGTTTGGTCTTCCTCAGGTTTGACCGCTCCTCGGCGCTGCGGTCCCCGATCCGTGGCGCAGATCGCTCCGCTGGCGCGCGATCCGCCCTCCGATTGTTCCTCCATCCAAGACCGTTCCGCAGAATATGTAAACCGCACCTTCCTAGTGTGTTTCCTGTGCTGACGTGGCTTGGAACGCACCCCTAAGGTGCGGTTTATAAGTAAAACGCACCTGTGGCGTGCAGTTTACTTATAAAACGCACCTTAGGGGTGCGTTCCATTAAAATTGGTGCTATTTCTGTCAAATTTTTCGGATGGGTGCTAGTTTTGTAATTTTTTTGTTTTAAACGTGCTATTATTGGAAAAATCCCTGAAATTAAAGGCCGACCTAGACAAGGAGGCAGGAGCCCAAAGGAGTGAAATTGACCTCCTCATTGAAGAGAAGAAAGCTTTGCAAAAGGAGAAGAAGATTCTGGCCAGAGAAAACAAGAGGCGCCGGGAGGAGTTGGAGGCGCTCAAGGGAGAGAAGGCTACATCAGAGGCGCCTGCATCGGATTTGGCGCTTAAGGCCCAGGCGTCCCTCAACAGCATTCTCATTCTAAAGAGGAAGCAGGAGGTTGACCATCCCACTATCAACTGGGATGTCAGGGAGATGGTCAACTTCGTTATTGACTTCATGTCCAGCGGGCGCCCCGTCGTTGATACTGCTCCTGCGCCTCCAGAGGATCCGGCGGATGAAGGAAGCTCTGGGTCAAGCTCGGAGTCCAGCGACGACTCAGCTGGGAACGAATAGGATTATTTCGTTTGAAGTTTGAACATGAACACTTGGGCGCCTGTTATTTACATGTTTAAATGTCTTGTCGAACTTTTATTTTCGTGACTATCTTCTATTTTGCTCCTCGGACGAAATAACAAGCGCCTTGACCTTATTGACGTCTTACTTTCATGTCTTATTCCATTTTTGCTAAGTCGTGAGTGGTATGATGCTCAGGGAGCTATGTGGGGCGCATTAGGGGCACAAGTATTTGGTGCTATGGGAGGGTTGTGTGCACAACGTTTTGGTGCGAGGGCGCTTTATGTATGTCGGGCGCATTAAGGGCACAATGACTTGGTGCTATAGGCGAGTTAAAGAAGTATATATGTATATATAATCCGATTAAAAAAAACAACCTTGGGGCGCTATTACCGGGCGCTTTAAGTATCCCGGGCGCTGAAGGGCGCTTTACACAAATACTACGGGCGCATAAGGGCGATTTACAATACTACGGGCGCATAAGGGCGCTTCTGCCTACACCTACCAAAAAACACCCCAAGGTTTGGCGCCTTCCCTTGCAATTACCACTCGCTAGGCGCCCCTTCTGGCACCCTGTCCTCTTCTCCTGCCATACTAGCCTCTACAAACCCATACTTTCGTAGGTTTTGTGCGTTCCAAGTTCTATTTACCTTTTTGCCCGATAAATGTTCCAACTTAAACGTGCCCGGCCCAACTACCTCTTGCACACGATATGGCCCCTTCCACTTTGGTGTCATCTTTCCATCAGTGGCCTTTGGGCGAAAGTCACGCTTCAGCACCAAGCTCCCAGCTACAATGTCATGCGGGCGCATCTTCTTGTTGTAATATCTGGTTACTTGTGACTTCATTGCCTCTAGACGCAGAGCCGCCCTCTCACGGCGTTCATCAAGGAGATCAAGCTCATAGATACGCTCCTGCTCCTCCATGGACTCCTCCCTATGCGTCATTCAAAAGGTCGGGATGCAAACTTCTACCGGTAGCACCGATTCACTTCCATACGTCAACGCAAAGGGTGTTTCCCCTGTTGCAACTTTGAAGGTGGTTCTATGCGCCCACAACACGCTTGGAAGCTCCTCTACCCAGTTTCCCTTGGCTTCTTCGAGCCTGGTATGTAGCCCATGCAATATACTTTTGTTGGCTGCTTCAGCTTGTCCATTTGCTTGTGGATAAGCTACAGAAGAGAACCTCATGACCACTCCATTTTTGTCGCAGAAGTCAATGAACTTTTTGCAATCAAACTTCTTTCCGTGATCGGTGATGATCGACTCCGGCAGCCCGAACCTTGTGAAGATGTTCTTTCTTGCAAACTTCCGCACTTGCACTTTCGTGATGGATGCAAGCGGCTCTGCCTCAATCCACTTGGTGAAATAATCGATGGCCAAAATTAAGTACTTGAATTGTCCAGGTGCCTTGGGGAAGGGGCCCAAAAGATCCATCCCCCATTGAGCAAAAGGCCAGGCGCCTACGTTCCCTTGCATGGGTGCCGCTGGTATATGTATATCATTGGCATGGATTTGACACTGGTGGCACGTGGCCACGTGCTTTCCAGCGTCATAGCCCTCATTGTCGGCCAATAATATTCTTGCCTGAGCAATACTTTTTCCAGACTACGAGCGCCTGCGTGCATTCCACACGTTCCTTGATGCACTTCCGCGATGGCCTTTTGTCCTTCACCTTCCGTGAGACAATGTAGATAGGCGCCCGAGTGGGATCTCTTGTATAGCACTCCCTCCATAACAACACATCGGGCCGCTTTCCTTCGTAAACGCCAAGCCTCTTTCGGATCTTCCGAGACCACGCCCTGCGTTAGGAAAAGCATGATAGGTGCCATCCATCCTTCCACCGTTCCCACGGAGATAGACGCCATCACCCTCTCCTCACGCGGGGCTTCCTTGGTGACGATCACCTTTCTGTCTTCTCCAAAATCCAACGCCGTGGCCAATTTAGATAGGGCGTCCGCATGGGCGTTCTCCTCCCTTGGAACATGCGTAAACGTAGCCTCCCGAAACCATGCGCACTTTTCTCTGACTGAGTGAACGTATGCTCCCAGCGCCTCCTCCTTCACCTCATACAAATTATTCAACTAGTTGATCACGAGTGCCGAATCAGTTTGAACATTGACCTTCTGGGCGCCTAACTCCCTTGCCATGTGGAGTCCTGCGAGGACCGCCTCGTATTCCGCCGCATTGTTCGTTTTGAGGGTTGTAAAACACAAGGCGATCTCATGCATAGTGTCCAGTGGGCTAATTAGAACAATTCCAGCTCCCGCGCCTGCCCGGCTTGCTGCTCCATCCACTTGGACTTGCCAACATTCTTCCGCGCCACTTCCCACGTCAAGCACTCCTTCGGCCACAAAATCAGCCAACACTTGCGCTTTGATGGCCGGTTTGGGCGCATAGCTTACATCGAACTCACTTAGCTGGACAGCCCATTTAACCAGGCGCCCAGACACATCCATGGAACCAAGGACCTTTCGGAGAGGCAGATTTGTGAGTACCACAATATTATGAGCTTGGAAATAAGGTCGAAGCTTGTTCGCCGCCATTACCACTGCCAGCGCCGCCTTCTCGATGGGCGCATATCTCGTTTCGTGCCCCACCATTGTACGACTTACATAAAAAAATACCTAAAAAGTGTGCAAAAGAAAATTATTTTTGTGGCACAGAGAACAATGAAGTACAATAATATTCCTCTAGACATCAATTGTATGAGCACTTCTGCTATGCTTTAAAGTATTGGTGTTTTAAAATATAACTTGAAGTTGTACTATAACATTAAGAGTACAAATTGAAGTTGTACCATTAGAAGATTTGAGTATTTGACTTTTAAGTTATGATACAATTTGAAATTAGTACTACAACACAAAGGTACAATTTTAGTTTGTACCATAAAGCGATTTCACAAAATAGTATAGGTACAACCCAAAATTATACCTTAGCGTTAAAGATACAACTTCAAATTATACCATAAAAACAAAAACTAAATCATCAATACTTCAAAACTTTGTAAAATTCTTCCAATTGTAAACCTTAACTTTTGGTGTTAAATATTCTTAAAAAAAAAAGAAGAACTTTTGGTGTTAAATAACTAACAATGAGTATGCAAGTTAACAAAAGGTTGTTCACAATCATTTCACTAAAAGTTTATAAAGGACAATTGGTAAACTTTACATACGTAATAAGATTTTGAACACAACGTGTTTAGTCGGCTATAAATGAGAGAAAAATAATACAAGGAAACATACACAACGAATACAAATCATAAGATCCTAGAATAAAAATATTGATAATTTCCTTTTTTAATGAAAAGATATATCAGTATGATAGGTTCGTGCATGGAAAGTCGTATTTTTCGGCTAAAAAGTACGAATCATGAGCCAGATATTAAATGATACACATAGGCCATAATTAAGGTACTCAATTGCTTGAAATCTAAATTTCCTAATTCTAAAACTCATCAACTTTTTGCTTTCTATTTTATAAATGTCTTTATGACCATATAATTGCAGTAATTTTTTTTATAATAGTTTGGATGAATTATTTATGATTATTTTCATAAATTCATGAATAACCATGCATCCTGGTAGCCGTTGGACTGAGTTTGATGTTCTCTTTCAAAATTCTTGGGTATTTTATCGAGCAAAATTTATCGGTATTTTTAATGTTTTCAGAACCAAATCAAATGACGAACTAGTGGTTGATTGTCCAATGGTTAACTTTTATAGAACTCTTGGTTAATCATTAACAGCACCGTTCATGCGCTATATTATATATCATAAAATACATATACAATACACTAATTCAAAAGTGAAATTATAACTAACTATACACAAATTCAAATTCACATCTTCTATCATCAAAGTTTCCGACAAAGTATTCAAATTATCTCATAAAAGAAATAAAAAATTTATATTAAATTTTTTATTAAATCCGTAGTGGACGACATAAAAATGACAAGGAGGCTGAATAATGAAGAAAAAAACATGAACAAAATCAGTGATTGGATGATTTATTAGGTTACGTTAAAATATTTTTTCTCAATTTATTTTGTGTTAAAATTGTGAACTAGTGAACCAATCAAATCATGATAGTTCATCTGATTTCTAATGAAACCATAAGAAACCATTGAATTCATTGTTAACCATCCAATAAAATGAACCAAACCGCGTTTAGACTTTAGAGTTCTAGTGGCCAATGGTTCGTCCTAGGGGTGGGAAACGGTGCGGTCCGGTCCAGACCAGACCATAGATACGGTCTGTGGTCCAGACCGAGAGGTTGGAAAACAGACCATGGACCAGACCATATACTATACGGTCCAGACCAGACCACACCTGTGCGGTGCGGTCCGGTACGGTCTGGACAAGACAGACCATGTTAAAAAAAATTAACTCTTGTTCGCCCTCCAACCCTTCGCCGATATCTACAAAAAAAATCTAGTGACCAATATGCTAGTGAAACAAAAAAATTGTGATCGTATTAAATAAGAAATATGAGGATAGAAGTGAGTTTTTTCAATTTTCAAATAGCCTTATTTCCCTATTCCTCTTTGTGCTACCGCTTCTCTCCTCTCTCGAGTGATCCGAAGGTTCTCCCAGTTGATAACCTTTTTGATGACGTCGAGGTAATTTCGAACCACTAAAATGGTCGCATATCTCTCAATAATTTTCCTTATCTCATCAAGGTGAACAAATTTTTTTGTAGTGTTTAATTTTTATCGACTCCATAGTCTAGACATTATCTGTGAATATTATTTATGAGTCTTTCTAATTTTTATGTGGTACTTTGATAAGGAGATAACATATAAGCGATCATTTTGCAATTTGTTGGCTCTCAACTAGATGAATAATCAACTAACTTTGTTCTTCAAATACGCATATGGAGGTTCAATTTAGTGTTATTTTTGTCCAAGGTAGTAGGTAGTGTGTCGCGGTCTCTTACGATTTACTGCGGTAGACCGCGGTCCAGACCACTTCAGACCACGCACTAAAGGAGGAGACCGCAAACCAGACCAGACCATAATTCTGGTCTCACGGTTCAGACCAAACCATACGATACGGTCTAGACCGCGGTTTCCCATACGGTTTGGTCTGGATTCCCAGCCCTAGTTCGTCCAATTCTCTTCTTATAACAGTGGTGTTTTCTCTTTCAAACCATATCCACTACTATTCCTAACCAAATCCAAAGCTACGTGCCTACGTCTTGCATAAAAATTTATCATAAGCCACGTGGTGAGCACAGCGGCGGACACGCAGCGGGTAAAATGTTTACCAACCATTTGTCACCGCGTTCGACTCGTGTTGGCGGGTTCTGACTCTCCCATTCGATTAATTAAAAATGTCGACTTGACAGTTGACAGAAACACAAGAAAAAACGAGAACGGTTCGTTGATTGTTCTTCCCGCACCATAAAATTGAGTAATTTACCAACTTACTTGCCAAATCACACCCATAAATTTATCCAAACACCAAGCAAACACGAATCTTGTTCATGCAGCCGGTGCCGCCGGGCCGGAAAATCAGCAAAAAAGAATAAGAAGACAAAGGGCATAGTAGGAATAGTAATGAGTTGTTCGAGCGGGTGTCTCGATATTTATATTCGTTTTGTAGCAGTTCGAGTATATAAAGAGTAATTCATTATGAGATATTGATTGAGATAGAGCGACGTAAATGAATATGTAATTTAAAGAAAAAAATATTAGAAATATTCATTTCTCATTAAGAAAATAAAAACAAACTATAATATGATAAATATAATCAAATTATATGAAAAAATGAAGTTCTCTCCTAGTTACAACTTTATTTTAACTAAAATATGAGGTAGTTTACACTTAAGGTGACATACAAAAATGGTCATTATCATACCAAAATGGCCGACCAGATAGATGAAGAGTCGACATTCGACAACTCATCAATCCATCCATTTTCAAGTGAAACGTAGAGAAAAATGTTGATTTTGCGGTCGACCACTTACAGTAAAATAAGCTTGCGACCTTTGAATTTTGTGCTTATGTATGTCGATGTCTATACTTAGTTTGGTTTAGGAAATTACGATAGAAACTAACAAATTCAATCCACAATTATAATAGCAAGAACCCTTAACTTCTTAACAATTTAATCACTAACACCACATACCCAAATACTCGTTTTCCGTTGCCTGCCCCTAGATAATTCCGAGTTCGATGTTGATAAGGTAATGCAATAGAGATCGACCCTTTTAAGAATGAGGTAGACCATTTGATGTACAAGCTCGATCGCTTTAAGATTGAGGTCGACCTTTTTTATTGTTTGCTTGCAAAAGAGGTCGACCATTTCATGTAAAGTCGACCGCTTTGTTGAACGTAACAAAACAGAAATAGTAGATTTGATCGACCTGTATTACTTTGCGGACGACCTATTTGTGCAAGTCACGGTGACTTAGAATGAAACAGATCATGGTAGATCAAGTCGAGAAGAATACACACGCCCACAAATCTAACATGTAAAATAAAATCAGATCATATCGAAATTGCGAGCATTCCAAGAGAAAGCAGCTCGGTCTAGGATAAGGGTCAATAACTCCTGGCTATGCACTTATGCATAACCAAATATGGAATCTTGATTTTTAAGTGTAGCTAGATCTAAGAGGTGAGATTAAGTAACTTTCAATTTTACCTAATTTTTAATAGACTTTTATCTTCTTTGTTTTGACTTAGATTTCAAAACATTTTTGTACAAATAAAGCGAGCCCATTGTGATAAAACCCCGTATCCCTTTTCAATATATTTTGTGCCACCCATACCACTCGTTACTATCTTGTAAAGTTGATATTAATAATAATAATAATAATTTCCTCAAATTTAATTTAAAGTGTTAAAAAATTCAATTACAAATAAAAGCGAATGAAATATAACACTTTAAATTAAATTTGAGTTAAAAATTCAATTACAAATAAAAGCGAATGAAATATAACACTTTAAATTAAATTTGAGGAAATTATTATTATTATTATTATTATTATAACGATCTTGAAAAGTCATGCATAATATCTACCAGCCCGCTTGAAGGCAGCAACCCGCCGGGAAAATATAAAGAAAAAAGGCTTTTCGCCTAATAGCCAATTGGCAGTTGCCGCTGGCGGTATTGAGAAACTTCAGCAGCAGCAGCGCGCACCACTGTCCACAAGAGGAAGGACTAATAACCAACAAAACTTCTCTCTCAACATCTCTCTCCCGCTTCCCCGGAACACCGCCCGCTGCCGTATGAACTCCGACCTGCGATTCACCACTTCCTCTCACTGCAGCTGAGAATATTCGCGCTTTTGTACACAACTTTGAACGGCCGGCGAGGAAGGTACTTCAATTTCGATCTTGCTTTCTAGACCCAGACGCAGCGAAGTTCCGTCGGAAGCTTGGCTTCCTTCCTTCCTTCTTTCATTTGTCTGCTTGCTTTCCGGTTCGTGTTGCTCGCTGAAATTGGAAAGAGAGCCGGCGTTAAGAGCTTCGAATTGGAGCTCATTTCATACCTGCTCTCTTGTTCCTCCAATCAAGTTCAATTGCTTCTTTCAATCTGCTTTCTTATCTCATATGACTGCTTAGCTTTCGTCTTCTGGAGATTTCTTCGTCTGCTCATAATCGATTTTGCCATGCTCTTGTGCAGTCGGCAGGCAGGTCCTTGTGACTTCCTCTTCTTCGTTGGAATTTCGAGATTTCTAGGCGGGAAAATGCGTGTCTCGGCGCTTCTGACTTCCTTAGGGATAAATTCCACTCTATGCGTTCTGTTCTTCACTTTGTATTCTGTGTTGAGGAAGCAGCCTGGCTACTACAAAGTTTACATTCCGCGGCTTCTGGCTCAAGGGAGCTCTAGACGAGAAGGTCGTTTCAAATTTGGAAGGCTTATACCGTCCCCTGGTTGGCTGGCTAGAGCTTGGAGGCTATCTGAAGAGGATATACTATCATCCAATGGATTGGATGCTTTGGTATTTATGCGATCTATAACTTTCTGGTAATTTGCTCCCCCTGTAGTTGAGAAGTTCATTATTCCAAAAAAAAAAAAAAAAGGAAGAAGTTGAGAAGTTTCATCACTGCTATTTGGAAGTATTGGGCAACCTTGTTTTGGGGCCTTCATTGGTCAGTTTAGGGTCACTATCACTTCACTCATCACTTGCTCAAAGTTGTATACTCTGGAGGACTGTTGATGAACATAATTATGGGACTAACATTGCAGGAGAAGAGAAGGGTTATTGGCCGTTGTTTGAGAGATTTAAGAAGTGTTGATATTGGTGTCTGGAAGTGAAAGTTTTGCGCTTGTTTTCCAGTTTGCGAGATCTGTTTTGTTGTTCTGATGCCTCTCCTCCGAGCAATCTTTTCTTGTTTCTTAATGAACTTCTGTTTTTTTTTGTTCTTATCTGAATGGTGCAGTTTGAAAGTATTTGCTTTTGCTGGAGTAATAGGGATCTTTGTTCTTCTTCCAGTGAATAGCATGGGGACTCAACTTCATGAAATCGACTTCACCGATATAGCAAACAACTCTTTGGATGTTTTTACGATTTCAAATGTCAATGATGGATCGGAAAGGTAATTCTCAATTGCAGGTGTGGACTGAACTCTAGTAGGTAATTCAAGTTCCTTTGTGCTATTGGTTTCATAGAATTTTACTCTTGAACTTAAAAAATGTTAATGTTCACTGGCGACGCATTCCCTAGAACTCTTTCCTGTTATTCACTTTACGTGACATCAAGTGATAGCAAAGAAACATAACTCGTATCTCATTCTCCTTTCTTTTTATCGCTGAAAACTGGTAATACAATGCAGCTGCAGTTCTCATTAAGTATATCATATTCTGATTTTTGTCTCTTTAAGCTAATGATTCTTTTGTAGTTCGTGTTGCACCTCAAATAGTCGGAGGCAACGCCTGCACATTTGGCTTTGCTAGAATTCTGAAAATATGCTGATTCTTAGTGATTGAAAACAAAAGCCCTTCTCACCCTACTTTGGTGATTTGGGCAGGCTGTGGATTCATTTCGCTGCTGTCTACACCGTAACAATATTCGTATGTGGTCTTCTTTTTACTGTAAGTCAAATCTATGTAGCTACTTCTTTTTTGTCGAATTCTGCTTCGAGCACATTTGATATTCTGTAATGCCTGATATCCTAGGTTTATGATTCCGAAGAATATCGTTTATTCAAGTTGTAGGTCTTTGTATAGTATATATGTATCATCTTTTTGCTCAAATTTTAATTTGCATTCTCTTTTAGTATTAGTTATTACACTTCTACAGAAATTGTGATTAGTCAAATGTTGCTTTAGATCTTAAAATTGCAGTCCTCATCTCTGCTTCAGTATGCAGCTATATAGGTGAAATGGTTAGCATCCTTGTTCTTGCGATATACAGCACAAAAGAAATTGTAACAGAATGTAAAATCGCCTTGCAGGAATACAAGTATATATCATCAAAGAGGATTGCCTTTTTTCATTCTTCGGATCCTCAGCCTCATCAGTTCACCATCTTAGTGAGCAATATCCCTGCATCGAGTGATATCAGCATCGGCGAGAGCGTTGAAAGATTCTTCAGAGAGAATCACCCTGCTACATATCTTTCTCATGTGGTTATTCGGCGAACAAGCAAAATTCGAAATCTTACTGTAAGGAACTTTCAAAGTTGTGCATAGTTTCCAAAGCCACTGCATCATCACTACTTTTTCGCTTCTTTCTCATAAAGGAATTATTCATCCAACCCATATAAATATTTCTTTTACCAAATACAAAAAGATCTGACCCCAAATGACATGAGAGAGGTTGGTTGAACCCATAAAGTACTGTAACTATGTTGTACATGGGATTCATGTGGCCCCAACATAAGTATGGTGATGAGACCTCCTTGGGGGCTGAGTTTAAGGCCTTAACTGAAATTATTGGAAATCGATAGTACTCAATAACAAGATAGAGCTAAGAAGGTAGCAAAAATTCTGAACTTCTCTTAGGGTTCTATAATGGAATATTAGTTACAACTCAAGGGTAATATACAGAGTAGTTCAATAATTTAACATGTTCTACAATTCTCCTGAAAAATTCTACACTTTGCTATTTGGTGGTTTAGAAGTCTGTTCACCTGGGTTCTCATTATTTTACCATGATTTCTGTCTGAAGAATGAAGCGAAGAATCTATATAAAAGGGTTACTCACTCACGAGCCGGATCACTGCAAGATAAGCACACAATATTCTCAGAGAAGGTTGATCTTGATCGTTATGAGAAGCGGTTAGAAGACATTCGGCAACACGTCAGACTAGAACAATCAGATATATCGATGTCTAAAGTACGTCTGCCCTTCACTTATAGCTGTGCATATACTATTTTTGTTCTGCAGAATCTTTGATCTTTGTCCTTACTTTACCTTTCAAACCTATATGATGCTGTAATGAACCAAGAGGCCTGTTCTTAGGTCAACCATGTAAAAAATTTATTGTGTTTCTGCTAATAGTAGACGCAGAACACCAGCTTACATGGTAAGTCTATGCTAGTAAAACTGACCTGCACATAGTATCTTTTACTTCGTTTATCTGGCGGAAAAAATGACGAGAAAATATGGCAATGCGAATTATGTGTCAATTGCTTTCTCTTAGCTCGGTGGAGAACTGAGTTTTGAGACACTATGTGAGCCATTTGTCAATTTTTCTGCAACATTAACAGCTACAGCAAGGCTATAATTTGATGCTCTCACCTAAATACTTGACGTAAAGACCAAACAAATACTCTTAACCTTTGATTTGATTGAGCTAAGTTTCCTTCGTGTTCATGATGTTAGTTAAACTAGCAACTCTTTTCAGGGTGAATATTTTGGGCTAGATACTTTAGCTTTATTGTTCAGTGCATTTGTTCTAAATAATTGATTCGTTTGTTGTTGAAGGATACTCGAGCAGCTTTTGTATCTTTTCGGACTCGATATGGTGCTGCCATTGCTCTCCATTTGCAACAAGCTGTCAACCCCTTACATTGGATTACTGAAGAAGCTCCTGCCCCTAAAGATGTTTATTGGCCTTTCTTCTCATCAACTTTCATGCAAAGATGGACATCTAAGCTCGTTATCGTGGTTGTCTGTGTTCTCCTTACAATTCTCTTCCTTATTCCTGTGATAATAGTACAAGGTCTTACAAACCTAAGTCAGTTGGAGGCTTGGTTTCCATTTCTGAAGAATATTCTATCCAAGTGAGTGTTGATCTACGGTTGTTCATTTCGTGTATGTTAGCTTGTTAACATTCAAATCCTTTTATGTATAACTATTCATCTTATCCAGAATGAAGTGGAGTACTGAACTGTCCATCTTATTTTTGCAGGACATTCGTTAGCCAAATAGTTACAGGATATCTTCCCAGTCTAATCCTGCAGTTGTTTCTAAAGATTGTACCTCCTATCATGAGATTCCTTTCTTCGATCCAAGGATATATTTCTCTCAGTGAGATTGAGAAGAGTGCATGCAACAAAGGAATTTGGTTCACAGTTTGGAATGTCTTCTTTGCAACTGTGTTTTCTGGGTCAGTTTTTTATCAGCTTTCCATTGTCCTCGACCCCAAAAGCCTTCCTGAAAAGCTGGGTATTTCTGTTCCAGCTCAGGTAAGATTATCTTTTCAGTTAAAATTTATTTACGGCCTTCTAGCGATTTTAAAAAACTTTCTATACTGAAAAGTTCATGCCACCCTTGGTCTTTCCCATGTCCTGCAAGCCAAAGCTTCCTCTCAATTACAGAGTTGCGTTTAGGAATGAGTTGCCATTTGTTATTGGGGCTCTGAATGGAATTAATTCGACATGACTGCTCCTTATTCGTTTTTTTATGATCATATTCCTACTTCCGAATGAAACCAAGCTTGTTATTGCTTCTGATCACTCCTTTTTTCTTCTTTCTTTTATGTTGAGTAGGCATCATTTTTCATTGCTTATGTCGTCACAACTGGATGGACAAGCGTAGCATCAGAACTTTTTCGCGTAATTCCATTCGTTGGCAGTCTTATTGCCAAGTGTTTGGGAAGAAGTACAGATGATGAGGAGGATGTTGAAGCTCCCTCTATCTGTTTTCATAGAGACTTTCCGAGGATGCTCTTCTTCGGACTGCTTGGAATTGCGTATTTCTTCCTAGCCCCGCTGATTCTACCTTTCCTCCTGGTGTATTTTTGCATGGTATACTTCATCTTCCGCAACCAGGTTAGTTGTCGCTGCACCTCAATGTCATCTGTTTAAGTACCAGTTAGGATCCGAATATAACTGCAACTTAACTTTGTATGTTAGGCCAGTTTGTAGATTCATGATCAAGTTCCGAAAGTCAAGAATTAGAAAAGAGCAAATCAGTAAAGATTAATGTGGCTGGTTTTCTTCAATATGCTAATAAAATTACCAACACTTCGATAAGTAAACAGTTTTTACCGGGTATAGCTCCTTCACGGTTCTTTCAATTGCTTTTTTTTATCCGAATGTTCGAGCTGAATGTGAAGGTCTAGAAATGTACGTGATAGTAACTCCATGAATGCAGTTCATACATGTGTACGCGCCCAAGTACGAAACTGGTGGGAGGTTTTGGCCGATGGTACACGACACCATGATCTTCTCCCTAGTTCTCATGCACGCAATTGCAGTCGGAATCTTTACACTGAAGAAGCTGTCTTGGGCATCCACCTTAGTGTTCCCACTTCCAGCCATCACGCTTCTCTTCAACGAGTATTGTAGGAAGCGCTTCCTGCCGGTCTTCAGAGCTTACCCTGCAGAGGTACCACCACTGTCATGACTCAATCGCTTAGCATTTCCCATTCTGCTTTCTTTCCCCAAGTAGGATTTGTGGCAGAACGCCCCATCCTTCTACGGGGCATTGGATAGGGTGACGCACCCCAATGAGCAGTTGGATCAGCTCTTGGAATTGTGCGTCGCCCAATCCAGCTCCCCCTTGCCTGGGGGAGTTCTGCCCGTAGCAGAATTCATGTTTCTCAACTCAATGAAATATGAGCAAAATGCAGCAATTGAACGAAAGCCTTTCTTGTTTATCAGGTTTTGATCAGGAAGGACAGAGCAGATTGGAACCAGGGTTTAATGACTCGGTTTTATGGTAACTTGGTCACTGCCTATGAGGACCCAGCTATGGTTCCGATTAGTTATTCCCGTAATCCAGACAGTCTTGACCTTCCTCTTCTATCTCCTGTTTCAATTTGAACAGGATGCAGTGACTGCATGTTGTAACTGTATTGTGGTGGGTATACATAAACATATTTCTTCATTCACACATCCTCTGATTCAATTGGGAAAAACTGTGAAAGGAATTGAGCATTTGGTTTAGAAATGTGGGGGCAGAAATAAGGGAAACAGAAAGGGTGTGAAAACCAAATTGACGCATGGATCGCCAGATCGGACTATACCGAATCGAATGTAATGTGATCCAGTTTTTGATCCCATAATTTTTATAAATAGTTGAAGAAAAATAAACTGAACCAAACTGGATCAGATGTATTGTTGATCCGGTACTTGATCTTAAAAAAATATTTTACTATTGAACCTTGATTCTCGTGAGCTTAGTCAAGATCCGAATCAGATCCTACCGTTACACGCACCTAAAAGGAGCTGAAAAAAGTAGAGAAGAAAACCAAAAAATATCCCAAAAGCTTTTCTGTAGTGGCATAGCTGTGGCTACGTAGTTGGGCTAGATCCTGTGGTAGACTACACTGTAGGTGGGTTGCAGGGCATTGGAAGGGGCGCACGTATAGATCCAGCTGCAATGCGTACGTAGATGGGTAAGTATCTCGATGAAGTGAAGGTCCTAGAGGTTTGGAGTCTATATTGTAGTTGACATATCTTTTCTATCTTTTCCTTGGTTGCACGTAGGAGTGGCTATACGGTCCGGTTAAATTGGCTCAAATTGATCCGGTCCAGTCCGGTTTTTTTGGAAATATAAGGACCAAAGATTGGATTGGATACAGTCCGGTCTTGATTCGGTCCGGTCTTGACCCGGTTCGGTCCCAATTCGGTCTTGATTTTATATTGAGATTGTGGGAATTTGAGTGGCCTAATGCCTAAAAGGGTGAGGAGTTGGTTAAGTTTTGTACTAAGTGCAAGGGTTTGTGACCGTTTATGCAAATTACCCTTAAGTTTTGGGTGTTGAGCTCTCTTATCCGGTCTTTATCCGGGTTTTTTACCTCAAATTTAAGTCCAAAGATTGGATTGGATTGTTTACTATCCGGTCCCGGTCCAAATAGCCAGCCCTTTGCACGTGTTCAGTGGTGTAACCAGATTTTTTTTTTACAGTAACCAGAATTTTATTCAAGGGTGCATTTTTGAACAATGACTTATAATGTCATCTTATATTTGATATTATGGAATTATTTCAAACTACATAATTGTCCAAACTATCAAGATTTCGCTCATAATGTTATCCCACCAAATAATCATTCACATTTTTTGTTGTTTTCCTCCAATAATCTGCACCATCTTATCCATTTTGATAAACTAGACTATTAATGTAGTTTGAAATAATTCCATAATATCAAATATGAGATGACATTATAAGTCATTGTTCAAAAATGCACCCTTGAATAAAATTCTGGTTACTGTAAAAAAAAAATCTGGTTACACCACTGAACACGTGCAACGAAGGAAAAGATAGAAAAGATATGTCAACTACAATATAGACCTTCACATTTTTTGTTGTTTTCCTCCAATAATCTGCACCATCTTATCCATTTTGATAAACTAGACTATTAATGTAGAAATTAGCTTAGAAAAAATTATTTATATAATTGAATGTGACGGGATTGTCAAGCCAAGGGGGTGCCATGGAACACCCTCCTTAACCTTTGGCTCCGCCCTTGCACGTGTCAATGCTACAAACATAACATAACGGTTTTCCAGTGTAAATTTGGCTTTGCCTCAGTCACACTTCCTTGCCCTCATTGTTTTTAGGTAAATACAATTTATTATCCAAACCTTTCATTTTAAATAAAATAATAGTCTTAACCTTTTCGAAAACAATTTAATAGCCAAATAGTTAACTTTCCGTTCGGTCAACTGCTAGTTGACTATGACATGACAGTTTTACGATGATGTGGCAAAGAGTCAACCATTTGACTTTGTCATGTGGATATATATTTATTTATATAATTACTATTTTAACAAAATAAAATAGGGTTATAGGTATAATATGCCCCTCTACTATGACGTTTTATCAAACATGCCCCTCTACTATTTTTTACATCAAATATGCCCCTGTACTTTGAAAAAATTATCAAACATGCCCTTCTGTTAAAATTTCTATTGAAAAAATCGTCAATCATGGTTGAATTAAGATTTAGACGACCCGACATCGACAAATGGGAGGGAAAATGTCAGTTTTGTCCCCTGTTTTATTTCTCTGGGTCTTTTCAAAGTGAAATTGTTTGAATGATTTGATTATACAAAATAACCAAAAAAATTCTAAAGTGAATTTATTAGGGATATTTTAGTCATTTGTCTCGGCCAAACTAAAGTTCGGCCTTGGTTAACGGTTTTTAGATGAAAATTTTAACAAAAGGGCATGTTTGATCATTTTTACAAAGTACAGGGGCATGCTTGATTTAAAAAATAGTAGAGGGGCATGTTTGATAAAACGTCATAGTAGAGGGGCATATTATACCTATAACCCAATAAAATAAAAAATGAACAAAAATAAGAAACAACTAAACCCTTTCATCCCTTTTCGTCCGTCCAACACCCCGCAGGAGTTTCTTTTGGTCACCGAGCCTGAAACTGCCGAGGCAAAGTGGCGACTTCCAAATTTAGAGGCGGCGAGATAAGCTTCTTCTTGAAGACCACATCGGCCAAACCCTCTTCCCCTACCCCTCTCCTTCAACCAACGTCCAAACACAGAATCACCTTCTTCGTCGAATCCCGCCGCCGCCAGCCATTGCTCACAATCCATCCCCACCACCACCAACCCTGGCGCCCCAAGCCCAAACCACCACCGACCATTCTTTCCTGATCTCACCTTGTCTCTACACCTGGATTTGAAGCCCAAGCCATCGTTCGACCGAGGCGAGAAGCTGGATGGATATAATGGTTCTTCGCCCCCGCTTCGACCTATCAATCCCCCGACAAAGCTGTGTTGATTTAAAGGGGCCAATTTAATTTCGTTTGGGGACTGTGAATGAATCGATAAATTTCAATCTTCTTCGATTTCAGCAGGTGCTAACGGATCTCCGAAAATGGTGCACTATCTCAGGTAGAACCCAATCTGATTGGCGACCCTATCATCGACTCAGCGCCCACACTCCAGGCCGCCATAAATGATATTGATGATGACACTGTAGCCAGAGACTCTGTTCGCAGCCCTGTCAGCTACCAACGGAGTCCACTGGCCAACGATCACGTTGTGGCCAGACGACTTGGGCTTGAGTAGTGAGGGTTGGTGGCGGTGGGGGATGTACTGTCACAGAGGAGTGATTGGCGGCAGTGAGAATGCCGGAGGAAGGTAGATCTCTCGCCGATAGACTTGAGATGAGGGAGGGGAATAGCGATAAGAGGTTTTTAGTTTTCTTTTTATTTTTTAGAATAATATTAAATTAATAATTATCTATGTGGCAAACTCAAACATTTTTCTTGTTGCCATGTCATCAAAATTCTTTCATATCACTAAAATTTTAGTTTGCCACGTCAGAGTCAATTGATATTTGATTGGATGGAAAGTTAACGGTTTGGCTATTATATTGTTTTTGAAAAAGTTTGCTATTATTTTGTTTAAATTCTAAGATTTGGCTATTAAATTATATTTACCCTTGTTTTTATACTCTTGTACTATTACAAATTAACAATTATATTCTTTTAGTAATTTTTGTACAAATATACCCTTTTATTATCATAACGTAACAATCATACCCTTCCTGCCTTCCATCGAAAATTCCATTAACTAACTGTTAAAATGGATGAAAAATGACCAAATTACCCATATTTATTAAATAATTTTGTCTCTTTAATAAATAAATTTTCTTTTATTCCCCAAAATTCATTGAATCCCTCATCAGCCATCGCAAATTACTCCATAAAAAAAGTCATCGCAAATTACAGTTTGATGACAGGGAAATCAAACCAGTACAGTTCAATACCAAAAATACACTTACGGGGACTCTCTGCTTGGCAAATCAAAATGAAGGAATTAATCAAAATCCCTTGCCCCAAAAATTTCCAGTTCGCAATTCATTCAATTGAATGTCACGACAGCAAGTTGGCTGCTGTTGGGCCGAATGAGAATAACTACCCAAACCTAGGCCCGTGATAAAGGAATCGGCCCAATGAGAAGACAAAGTCCAATAGAAGGGATGGAGACGGGAAGCGGGGAGAACCATCGGGAGTGGGGGAACCTCCGGAAGCGAGCATAGAGAAGGTACACTCGATAAGACAGTAGTAGCGTTAATCGTGCCTACTATGACACAACATTAAATGCCACCGGAGGCGTAGTCGCATGAAAAGACGTTTAGTACACGCTCAGCAGAGCATTAAATGCTCACACATACTACTATCAGCTATAAATAAAGACCAACCACTTCATTTAACGGTAACTAACCTACCACATTCTTTATCTACTTTCTCTCTCTAAACACTAACTTAATCATCGTGGAGTATCCGAGGCCCACGCCTTCGGATCCCTTCTGTAGGAAATGAGGCTTCTCCACTCTAAAGGAAATGCGTGATCTCTCCAGAAGCGGCCTGAAATCTCACCTGACACTTTCTAGGCATAAACAAAGTGGCGCCCACCATGGGGCCCATTTGAAGAGATTACATGATTCTTCTAGATGGTGGGAGACTCAACCACTCCATGAAGGAGGTCGTGGAGCCGCTAACACTACGCGGATTGTCTCCAGATGTCGAAGAAGAAGTGGAGCTAGAAGATAGGGTGAAGGACCACGAAAAGCATATCTTCGAGATGCAAAACAACATTAATTAGATCCTCTCCCTGATAAAAGAGGGAATGAAAGATCAGGATGCCCCAGGAGCATCCCAGGCCCCAAAAGACAAAGTAAAAAAGAGGATGGTCGTGATTGATGATCCGGAAGACAAAGAGACCGAAGACGAAAGACCGGAAGCGAACATGAGTTTTCTAGAGGAACACCTGTTGTCGAGTTTTGGAAAGGGAAGTGAGAAGGGAAAGGGGCTGAGCATCCTACACAACCCGTTGGCAAAGAAATTATTCAGGAACCCCGTACCGCCCAACTTTTCCTCACTTGGCCTTCCTACCTACAACGGACGCACAAATCTGAGCGACCACCTGAGCGCTTTCACCCTAAAGATGCAGTTAATCAATGCTACAAATACGGACTTGTGCAAGGCTTTCCCTATAACCTTCGGAGGGTGGTGCCAAGCGTGGTACACATCACTTCCAGAGGGAATCATTGACAATTTGGAGCAGCTTGCAACCCTCTTCTCATAAAAGTTTTCCTCCCAAATCCGCCGGAAGCTGACGGTCTCCGTACTCATAAATTGCATACAGGGAGACAGAGAAGCCTTGATGGACTTCTACGATAGGTGGAAACCATTGCGTGCGAAATTCAGGGCATCATGCCCAACGTGGCGACATGAAATCTAAGCATGTCAACGTGCAACAAAGAGCTCCAAAGGGCGTTGATAAAAAAAGAGCACAGTCTAAACACGTGGTCGGACTTGGATAACCTAGTCCGTCGCGCAATAACCTTGGAGGAGGCCTTGACGCCAGCGGAACGCTCAGGGACGATAAATAACAGGGAGGGGAAAGGCAGAGCAAGGAAGTAAGGAAAGGAAATAAAACGCCTCCTCGGAAGGGACGGTCGCCAGACCGGCCAAACTACAAAAAAAGCATATGGAATGGATAATAGGAGGGAAGTCTACACGACGGATCGGGAAAGAGAGGAAGCCCCCCCAGCCGAACGTGAAATGAGAAGACTCGCTTTGAGGATCAAAGGCGTACCGAGGCCCTAGTCTTTAGAAGGCGGTGCGTCTGACACCAGAAGGTGACACACAACACTGCAGACTGCCACGACTTCCCAATGAGTCTCGCAAACCTCGCTGCGGGGGATCTACACAATCGACTCGAAGCTAAAAAGCAATAAAGGGAAAGGTCGCCATCCCATAGCAGATTTCCAAGAAGAAATCATTTCAGGTCACGAGAAAGGAGGACCAGATCACCACGAAGATCACGCTCCCGGACCGGCAAGAGAGAAAGACTTCCTTCCCTGCCAAATGCCCCTCCGCCAAGGAGACAGCCTCGACTGGATGAAGATGACCTGGAAATAATAACAATCTCAGGGGGAGGGAAGAAGAGGCCAAGAATGACAGAAAAGGACGCCCAATGCTTGACAGTGGCGTCCAGGTCGTCGACTGAGGTAATTTTAATGCCTCAGAGTTGGCCAACCCGGAGGCGGCAGATGACCCACTAGTCATATCTTTCGGCATGGGAAAGTACAAGGTCACAAAGACGCTGATTAATAACGGAAGTTTGGCGGATATCTTGTTCTTCTCAACCTTGAAGAGCATGAAGAAAGGCCTGTAAGAACTCAAACCTTCCGCGACCCAACTGGTGGGCTTCTCAGGGTCAAAGATCAATGTGTGGGCGTGATAACATTGCGTGTAACAGTGGGATAAGCAAACATCACAAAAGCAAAGATGGAGTTCCACGTGGCAGATTGCCCTTCTTGCATCCACATGCCAGCAAAGGCTGAAGTTCACAGTAGGAAATGGAGTGGGATGCGTGAGGGGAAACCCCCAACAGGCAAGAGAGTGCTACCAAGAAACCATCAAACAATTGGAAGTGGACTTAGTGGACACTCTAGGGAACGCGCCAAGACCAGAGGCGTTAGAGGGAGACGTGGCCGTCGCTCACTATGAAGGAGAACCAGAAAGAAAGGTGTGAATGTCAGCGCACCTCTAACCCAAACTAGTGGCAAGCATGCTCAACCTCCTGCGGGATTTTGCAGACCTCTTCACATGGGGACCCGAGGACATGTCGGGCGTCCGATGAGAATTGGCGGAGCACCACCTGTCATTGAAGCCAAATGCACGCCCGGTACATCAAAAGCGTCGAAACATATCAAATGAGAAACAAATGGCTTTGGACGAAGAAATACAAAAACTACTGAAGGCGCGGTTCATCAGGGAAGTGTGGTAGCCCACGTGGCTAGCCAACCCAGTCTTCTTAAAAAAAGCCCAGGCCTATAACGTATGTGCGTAGATTTCATGAGCCTCAATAGTGCATGCCCCAAGGATGCATACCCGCTTCCGCGAATTGACCAACTCATTGACACCACAACCAACCACGCCATACTGAGTTTCCTCGACATGTGTTCGGGCTACCATAAGATAAGCTTTTCCGAGGAGGATCAAGAAAAAACCGCTTTCATGACTCCAACAGGAAATTACTGCTGGACGGTCATGCCTTTCGGCTTGAAGAATGCGGGGGCAACCTACCAAAGAATGGTCGATGCAGTTTTACGGAACCAACTGGGAAGGAACGTGGAGGCTTATGTCGACGACGTCCTTGTAAAGAGCAAAGAGGTGGGAACACATCTGCAAGACTTAAAGTAAACATTTGCTAACATGAGAAAGCATGGGCTAATCCAAAACAAATCGAGGAGATCTTACAGCTCAAAGCCCCTAATCAATTAAAGAGATCCAAGCATTCAATGGAAAGATGGCCGCCCTAAGTCGATTCATCCCACGCTCTGTAGATAAATGCTCCCCTTTTTTCCAAATCCTAAAGAAGTCGGCAGCTCACTTCAAGTGAAATGAAGAATGCAACGAGGCTTTTCTACGCCTTAAAGAATAGCTATCAATACCTCTCGTTCTCAGCGCCCCGATTGGCGGAGAGCGTCTTTTCCTGTACCTTGCTGTCTCCCATTAGGCGATAAGCTCCGTGTTGGTAAGAAGATCAGTCGAGGTTGGCAAGGACCAACCGGTATACTATGTCAGCAAGGATTTAATTCCCGTGGAAACGAGATATTTGGTGGTCAAGAAGGCGGTAATTGCAGTTGCCATGACAGCCCGGAAGCTCCGCCCTTATTTTCAAGGTCACCCCATCATAGTCCTATCCAACCTGGCTCTAAGAAAAATATTGCAAGGAATGGACGACTCTAGAAGGATGACCAAGTGGTCGATCGAGCTTAGCGAGCACGATATCTCCTACGCCCCTCGGCCGACCATTAAGGCCCAAGTCCTCGCGGACTTCATCGTCGAAGGTTTTGCCCTAGACTAGGGAATGTCTGGGACCGAAGAAGCATGGAAACTGTTGGTGGATGGGGCGGTAGGAAAGGGAGGTGCCGGAGTGGGAATAGTGATAGAAAGCCCCGAAAGAGTAATCCATGAAATCGCCATGCGATTCGAAGCGTCAAAACCAACAATGTCGCAGAGTACGAGACGTTGCTTAACGGG